GCCTTTTCTGAATCCTCCATTTCCACTGGCTTGTGCGAGGCCCAAACAGTGCAGATATTGGACGGTTTAGAAGTACAATAAATAAAAAACTCTTTTTCCGAAGTCCCACAGAATCCCAGCGGGGCTTAAAAGTAGCTACTCACAACAGAAACTTCCTAAAATAATCCTCCTACAGGTATAGCTTGTTATCAAGTGAAGATTAAAAACAAAGCAAAACAGCTCCTTGAGTTTTTCTTTTCTTCTCTTAAAAGTTGAATGGTGGGGAAACAGGCAGGCCTGGCTTGGGGAAGTCTCAAAAATAGTAAGGTAAAATTGCTCTGAGCACTTCCAATCGTATACTTGGTTTCTGGCTGTCCAACTCTCCAGACTGGCCATGTAATGGTCTGTGGGAATGGCCCTGGGAGGCAGGAGGGAGAGCCGGAGACTGGAGAACCGACGGGTAAAAGGTATCTTCAGCCCAGGGAAGGAGAAGGGCGTGGGAAGCGTCTCGGAAGGGACCCTCCCTCATTTTCCAGAGAGTAAAAGGAGAGGAGGGGAGAAGCGCTTTCAGTCTTGCAAAGTGGTGTTCGTGTCACCTTACAATAAAGACAGAGCCGGTGCTCCTGGTTGTGCTCCTGCCTGGACTCCCTTGCAGGGCTAAGGGGCCACTTTCATTAATTGTGACCTAAAATGCAGGAAGGGTCTTTGGGATGCATGCCAGTGGGTAAAGAGAGGCAACACGGAGATACTAAAAGGGGAGAAGGCAACTCAAGGCCTGCCTCTTGGGTCAAGGATCCATCCACCAGAACAGGCAGAGCTTGCACTGCGGTGACCCAGGGCTGCTTTTGTCATTTTGCTGAAAGCCACGGCACCCAAGATTTCTTTGCACAAAACATGCTGTGGGGGGCCAGAGTCTGGAGGGCTGCGTGAAAGGGGGAAGACCCTTGAGAAAGACGCTGGGGCGGGCAGGAGGTAGAGCAGGAGCAGAGGTCTCCCTTCAAGAGGCAAGGAATGTGATAAGCAGTCACATCAAGTCTTCCCGCAAGTGCACCTCATGGTGACTTCATGGACACGTTCATATTTTCTTGGCAACCACTGAGAAAGGTTTGCCATCACCTTCTTTAATTAAAAAAAAGAAAGTCTTTTTCTTCAAACTTCCCAGTCTAGTCAACAGCCCAGCAATTCCCTAAAATTTATGCAAATTATAGTACTTGGATGAGAGACTAGGAACCCTCAAGGCAACAGACTAGACTGATAACTGGGGGGAAAAATCCCAGAAGAAACTGTAAAGCACTTCCGTGTTGCTCCAAAAACTCTCGGTGGACCAACCCATAACACTGAGCTCAATCTACAGGAGACTTTGCCCTAAATTCTCCAGGGCTGGGCTGGGCTGGGCCCTGAGGAAGGAAACTGCCTGCAGGGCATTCCAGAGGCCATGCAAACAGCATTATGGGTGGGAAGAAGAAGAAAAGGGGAAGGAAGGAGAAATAATCTTGTACTAAAAAGGAGAACTGCATTCTTTTGTTGTTAAATTGCACTAAATGGTTTTCCCTCCCACCTTAGTTCTGGTTTACAAAAGGAATCATTCTTTCTTCCCCAAGTCTTCTATCCACTTATCTGATCATCACTGAGTTAAAAAAAAAGGTTGAGGAGCAATTTATGCCAGCAAATGCCAGGTCACCAATGGCAAGACATTCCCAAGAGTTTGTGTCACGAGGTCTTCTCCATGAAGAGGAATCAAGCACAATTAACAAAGTTAGCTTTATTCTTTAAAGCCCCTGGACTTCCTCTAGAAAACTTAATCACTCCACAGTCTTTCTAGATCTCCCTTGTCTCTCTGTTCCAGCCTGAGAGACCTCTGCCCCAGTTTTTATATAGTCCCACACCCACTTCATTCATTCATTCATTCATTCATTCATTCATTCATTCATTCATTCATTCATTCATTCATTGCTACAGTGAACCCCAAATGCATATGATGAAGCGAGCTGCAGATCATAAAAGCTTATGCCTAAAAGCGTTAAAACGTGTTAGTTGGAAAAGGTGCTGCCACACTCCTCCTGATTTTTGTGAAGCACAAGTAGCTTGTACGTGGAGAGTAAGGGAGATGACCTTAACAGAAATATGAAAGAGCCGTTACCTAGGCAAAGCGGGCTGAAACAGTCTAAGCCCTGGGACGCAAGAAAATACTTGGGAGTAACTCAGGCCAGCGCCTCCCTGACTCTACCTGGTGGGGCTGACATGGTGCTTTGGACAAAGATAAATTGTGCGAAAATAAAATTAAAACAAATACTCTGCATCAGCACCTGGCTTTAAAAGGAAAAACAGACGTAAAATGGAAATATCAAGGTACTAAAAAACTTTCATCCTGTCCCCAGTTATCACTTAACAAATAGAAAAATATCACTTAATAAATAAACAGTGTGCAGAGCACACTAAAATTCTGCCCTGGGGTTGTGGAGAGACAACACAAATTGGCCAAACGGAGGTGCCAAAATCAAGGAGGGGGCACCTTATTTCCGATGGGGGCAGTAGATGCACAGCTGGATCTCTCTGCTGGCTCAGGATGCTGGGGATTGAGGTACAATAAATCAGGGTGGGCACTGGAGCTGCTGGGCATTGACCCCATCTCCCTTCAATTATCTGAGAAATTCTGGAATTAGAACCTTGGTCCTTCTGCAGACAAAGGAGATGTTCTACCACAATCAGGGTCCTCCTTCACTTCCAAAAAGAAACAACCCCCCCCAACATGGACACATCTGCTCTTCCCTTCAACTCTCAGCTGTCTTACATCAAATGAAAAATGACCCCCCAGTTACTCTGGAGAGCACCCTCATCATGGCCCCTGGAGGGTAAGCTCACCAGTGTTGCTCTCCTGCCCATGTAACCTTTCTAGGAGTTAAAAGATGGGAAATGAGCCTGCCTTTTTCACCCCAAGCAAACCCTACCGGCTGATGAAAAAGACAGAGGCCCAGCCAAAAAAGGAATAGCCCACCAGTTTCTAGGCCAGCTTCCAGATGAATAAAAAATAGAAGCATGCTGTGAGAAGCCATACATTGCTGTTGAACAAGGAGGGTGCCCAGATGTTACAACCTATCACGCAAAAGAAGAAGGGCAGAGATACAGCCAAGACATGAGTCTTGGCAAGATCTGAAAGGAGATAGAGTATCATGTTCCAAGGAAAACCTGATGCCAGGCAAAAGATTCTCAATGGAAGGTATATGAGAAGTGGCACAGAAGCACGCCTGGGGCTCCCTTGGACATGGTCCCAGGTTGATCCATGGCACCTGCAACTAAGCTGATGCTCCTCTCTTGAGGGACACAACAGGAATAGCCTGGAGAGGTCTAGATAGACCAATAGACCATCCTGATCTAAGGGATCTCCTTGGAATAGCTGGCCCTTCAGAAGAACGACAACTCTGGATTTAAACCTGAAGTGGCGCTCTCAGTGTGGTGGAAAATGCCAGAGTTGTTGAAGTGTTTTGAAATAACACCCAGGGCTGGATCTATAAAAGTGAAGAATGCCCCCCAAATCACACAGAGCCACTTTGGACTTCAGACAAGGAAATCTGTCAAAAACAAGAGGTTTGCTGATAAGGAAGTTGAGCAGGAATGTCAAGAGGGACAGATTGCTCCAAAAAGCTAGGAGCTACTCAATTGCACAATAACAGAAACTCGGCTAGAATGCGTATCACAGGTCAGGAAAAACATGACAGAATGGAAGGTCGCTCAAGAAATGAAGGCTTCCTTCGAAATGCAGAAGTCCTACCTAAATAAAGAGAGGGATAAAAAAGGAACACAACCTTGGATGGGGGGGAAAAAGGGGGAGGGGGAGTTAACAAACAGGAATGCAAAATGGGATGTTGAAGAGCGCTGCCCTCACGCCAAAACCAAGAACTGAAGCCATCCTTGATCAGGATTAGGAATCTGGCTAACGAGGCCGCCGATGGAAAAGGAACTGCAGATGAACTAGAGGAGGATTAACAGACTGCAGAGAAGCTGGAAGAATCCCCGAAGCTGCAACTCGAATTCCCAGGCCTGACCTGAACTGGTATTTTCAGAAAGGAAACCTGACATAAGGAGGTAAACGGCGGGAAAGGCCTTTGGGCCGATTAACAACAGAATAATCACCCCACCCAAGTAGCACTGAAGCAAAGGTCTTCAAAGAACTAGTATTTGAAATGGCGGTAAACGGAACACCTGCTTTTAGAAACAGACATGAGGAATAATAGGGCTACTAACCAGGGTGGATAGCTCTTCCTTCCTTCCTTCCAACATTCATTCATTCATTCATTCATTCATTCATTCATTCATTCATTCATTCATTCATTCATTCTCTCCCTTGCCCCTCTCCCCCCAATGGGGGACTCTGGGCGACTCACACAAAACATTAAAACCATAAATACATAGAAATACATAAAACATCAAAATTTAAAAAACATTACTAAAGAAG